TTTTTTTTTTTTTTTTGAGACAGGGTTTCTCTGTGTAGCTTTGGAGCCTATCCTGACACTCGCTCTGGAGACCAGGCTGGCCTTGAACTCAGAGATCTCCCTGCCTCTGCCTCCCGAGTGCTGGGATTAGAGTTGTGTGCCACCAACGCCCGGCAAATAAAATCTTAAAAAAAAAATCTCTTCCTAAGAAAATCTAAATTATAATAAATTATAATAAAAAGGTCTAGGGCTGGAGAGATGGCTCAAAGGTTAAGAGCACTGGCTGCTCTTCCAGAGGTCCTGAGTTCAATTCCCCGCAACCACATGGTGGCTCACAACCATCTGTAATGAGATCTGGTGCCTTCTTCTGGTGTGCAGATCTACATGGAAGCAGAATGTTGTACACATAATAAATAAATAAAATATTTTAAAAAATCACTCAGTAAAAATTAAAAATAAAATAAAATAAAATAAAAAGGTCTAATATAATAACAACATTGGGGGCTGGCGAGATGGCTCAGTGGTTAAGAACACTGACTGCTCTTCCAGAGGTCCTGAGTTCAATTCCCAGCAACCACCCGTTATGAGATCTGGTGCCCTGTTCTGGTGTGCCGATATACATGGAACCAGAATGTTGTATACATAATAAATAAATAAAATCTTAAAAAAATAACAACATTGGCATTGCATCCAAAAAATTTCTTCATGGAGTCACTTACTAGGTGTTTGATAGTTCTCCAACTTTCTACCTTATGGGGTATTTGTTATTCTTTTGTTTAAAAAGAAGAAAAGAGAAATGCTGAGACATGAGACATAAGACTATAAGTTTATTATAAGGCCCCGCAGAATGGGGAGACAAAGAAGAGGAACAGGGGTAAATGGCTGACCGCCATGGCCGGTCGCCATAGAGAAAGCACATAGGTGAGAGAGTAGAAAGGAAGCTGGGAGGAAACAGAGTGGGGAAACAGAGAGAGGGAACAGAGAGCATAAGTGGGCAGGGACTTGTCTTTTACAGGGGTCCTCTGCACCTGTGTGCAGACTTAGTTCCCATGGAACCTTGGGCTGACCAGGGTACTGCCTGTTCCACCAGGTAACAGGGGCAGGCCAGCATAATGCCTGAACCTTTCAGTATTGACTTCTCAATCTGCAAAATAGAATTATATATTAAATCCCATAGAACTGAAGTCACAGGTGGTTGTGAGCTGCCCTACCTGGTGCTGAAAATTGAAAGCAGTATGCACTCTTTTTGGAATTTGGGTGTGTAGAGGGTTTCACCATGTAGTTCTGACTAGCCTAGAACTCACTGTGTAGACTATGCTAGCTTCAAAATCATAGACCTGCATTAAAGGACTATGCTACAATACCAGCCACAGCATGCACTCTGTTTTCTTTTTCAAGACAGGATTTATCTTTGTAGCCCTGACTATCCTGGAACTTACTCTCGTGAGTACTCTCTTACTCAAGGCTGGCCTTGAACTCAGAAATCTGTCTGCCTCTGCAGATCAAAGGTGTGCACTACCACCACCTGGCCACAGTGTTCACTTTTAACCAGCCATCTCTCTAGCTCCAGGGAACATGCCATATAGGGCTTTTGTCCTTTTCTGCGGTTCAGTTCTTTTTCTGGAAAATGCAGATACAAATCTTATTTGTGAGGAAGCTGTCAAATAGAATATACCATCTGCCAGAAATTACAATTTTGCTGGCATCATCTCTCTGAATTTTCAGAAACATCCACGATTTTATTTCATAGTTAAAAAAACAAAAACAAAAAACCTGTAGTTCAGAGGCTGTAGGCAATGTATCTAATGAAAATGCATGTCTGTGTGCGATGCACTCGTGAGTGTAAAGGTGTGAGAAGGCCAGCGGAGGGCGCATTACTCTATTGCTCTCTTTATTGCCTCCAGATAGAGCCTCAAGTTAAATTTAGAAGTGCATAGGTTTGGTTAGGCTGAAGAACCAGCTCTTGAGATCCACCTGCCTCTGGCCACAACACTAGGGTTATATAGGTGAGTTAAACCATGCCTGTTTTTTGTTTGTTTGTTTACATGGATCATGGGTGCAGGGGAATTCAGGCCCTCATGCTTTTGAAGGAAGCACCCTTACCAACTGAGCCATCTCCCTAGCTCTGAAAACAATTTTTAAAGCCCGTCTTTCCCAGAGCTTTATTCACACCTCCCAACAACTGGTAGGTAGGTATTATTTACTGCTAGGTGTGCTAAAGCAAAGACACCCTGCAAAGAGGATGCCACCAGACAGCCTGACTCCAACACACTAGACAGAGGCTGTTCATTAAAAATAGACCACAAACTGTGTATGTAATTTCAATTTTCATAGCATCTGCATTTCAAAAGTAAAAAGACATAAGTAAAATTTAGTATAATAGTTTATTTGACGCAATATATACAAAATAATATAACATGTTCCAACATGTAATAAACATAAAACCTTTTTTCTACACAGACACGAGTATTCTAAATTATAATACATCTCAATTCGGGGTATTTACATTTCAAAGACTCAGTAAATACATAATGGACACTGACACCGTAATTACAGTTCACTTATTAATCTCAAAATTACAAAGTAGTACCCATAGAACCACCTCTTTCTTGGTTTTCGAAGACAAGCAAAAATAATGACAAAGAACCAACCCTCAAGCATTTGCCTTGTACCAGGAAACATCTTAGGAATCTTGCCCAAGTATTTTGTTATCCTCAAAATAAGGTGAGTGCTTAAGCAGGCGAGAAGGTATGCTTATGTGTACTCGAGTGTCGGCTCACTCTGTAGCCCACGGGTGGCCCCTAAATCTAACATTACCGGCTTGGGAGGCCTGTCTTTTATATTTTTTGTTTTTTCAAGACAGGGTTACTCTATGTAGCCCTAGCTGTCCTGAAACTCTCTCTGTAGCTGGAATCTGCCTCCTGGGAGCTGGAATTAAAGGCGTGCGCCACCACCGCCTGCTGAGCCATCTCTCTTAAAGTAGTCTGCGCCCGGGTGTCGCTGTCCCACCCGAGTCATCCGCCAAGCGCTGGCCAGTCCTCACTCCCTTTTTCCCAGGACTGTAAACGCGCCTCCCTGGTCCAGCGTCTGCCCTAGCAGGCGCAGGTCACCTACAAGACCTTGTTTAGGGTGGCCGCCGTCATTTCCTTCTCGACCTCTTCCCACTTCAACTTGAAATTCACTACCGACTCGGATTCGGACTCGGGTTCGGACTCGGAGTCGGACTCGGACTCGGATTCCAACTCCTGGTCCGTCGCCTCCTGCAGGTCTGCCTTCCTCTCGTGCAGCCCGAAGTCGAAGTCGCCATCGGAACTCCCGGAAAAGCTGAGATCATCGAACCACAAGGCCGTGGCCGGGTAAAACTCCACGTGACTGGTGAGGGGCGCGGCTTCCGGGACGTGGAGCTTGGGTTCGCTCCTGGGGGGCCCCGCGGAGTCGCCCATTTCCGGTCGCCCCAGCGCTTCGCT